GTTTTGATTTCATGTCTCTTATTCACGGTGTTGATAATTTGTGTCTTCTCTCTTTTTTTCTGATCAATCTGTGTATTAGTTTTCTATGGCTGCTCTAGGCGACAGTGTGTTCCTTGCTTTTTCCAGCTTCTAGTGGCAGACAGCATTCCTTGGTTTCTGGCTGCATCATTTCCGTCCCTGCATTTATGGCCTCATTGCCTCTCCCGTTCTGTCCTGAATCTCCCTTTGCCTCCCTATTATAAGGATACATGTGATTGCATTTAAGGCCACCTGGAATAATCCAGGATAGCCTTTCCATCTCAAAATCTATAACTTAATCACATCTGCAAAGTCCTTTTATGATATCTAAGGTAATATTAACAAATGCCAGACATTAGGACGTGCATATCTTTTGAGGGGCCGTTATTCAGCCTACCCCAGTCTGGCTTTCAGTTTATCAGTTTTTTTTATGTTTTCAAAGAACCAGGTTTTGGTTTCATTGATTTTTTTCCCTTCAGCTGTCTCCTTATCTATTTCATGGATTTCCATTCTGATCTTTATTATTCTTTTTATCTTGTGCTTATTTTGGGTTTCATTTGTCCCTCTTTTCTAGGGACAAATGAAAGGGTGGAAGCCAAGGTCATTGCTATAAATTTTCCTCTGTTCTACTTTAGCTCCATTCCATAAATTTTCATACGCAGCATTTTCATTTTCTTTCAGTTCAAAATACTTTCTAATTTCCCATTGTTTCTTTGATCCATGGAAATGTGTTATTTAGTTTCCAATTTTGGGGGGAATTTTGCAGTTATCTTTCAGTTACTGATTTCTATATTAATTTCATTATGGTCAGAGAACATTCTTTGTATGACACAACTTTTAAATTAATTGAGACTGATTTTAGAGCTCAGAATATAATCTATCTTGGTAAATGTTCCAAGACATTTATCAGGCATTTACTCTTGGAAAGAATGTTTATTCTGCTCTTGGTCAGTGGAGTGTTGTTTAAATGTCAGGTCAAGTTTGTTGATAGTGCTGTTGAGGTCTTCTATATCTTTGCTGATTTTCAGCCTACTTATCCTATCAGTTATTGAGAAAGGAGTGACGAAATATCTGAATATAATTGTGGGTTTTTCTGTTTCCCCTTGCAGTTGTATTGGATTTTGTTTCATATATTTTGAAGTTCTTATTAGATGCATAGACATTTAGGATTGTTATGTCCTCTTGAAGAATTATTCTTTTTGTTGTTACAGTTTGTGTTTTCCTGCTTTTTTGCATGTCCGTTAATTTTTTATTGTATGCCAGACATTATAAATTTTATCTTACTGTTGAACTTTGTTCTGGGGTGCTATTCATTTGGATTCAGTTCATTGGATGAATTCATTCATTGGATGAATATTCATTGGATGCAGTTGGGTCTTGTTTTTAAGCCATTTTAGATGGTAGCCAAGCTGTTTTAATCTAGAACTAATTTATAGCATTACTTAGGTAAAACTCTTCTGAATGCTCTTCCTTATGCTCTGTGTTTGGTAGGTTGGTAGGAACAGGTCCTGTTCCCAGACCTATGTAAGTTCCTGGGACTGATTTCTTTAATCCTGTCCTGGACACTTTCCCCTGCCTCACGTGTATCCACTCAACTGAATACTCAAGGGGGAATGCACATCTCCAGTGTCCTCCCTCTCTGACTCTCTCTCCTCTCTAGCACTCTGCCCTGTGACTCTAGCCACTTTGGCATCCCTGGATTCTGAGCTGCATCCTTTTGATTCAAGAAGACCACCTGGATCTGCCTGGTTTCCCTTCCCTGTGCTCCAACTTGGAAACTTCTTCAAGATGTTAAGCTGGGACAGTTGTAGAGTTCACCTCATTTGTATCCTGAATCTCAGGGGTCACTATCCTTCACTGCATGTTATCCGTTATCATGAGAACTATTGCTTTACACATCTTTGCGTGGCTTTTTAGTTATTTCATGTCGGAGGTAAATTTGATAACTATTACTCCATTTTTGCTGGAAGTAGAAATCAAGAGCTGGGATTTTATACAAAGTGCATTCTAGTGCATTTTTAATCATACCTGGAGAAACTTCTATAGGCCCGACATACAGACAGCCTGTTCTCAGCAATGGCTGCGCTTGTGGGACTGCCCTTTTCCTCTCTGCCACCAGAGTCCCTGCCACACCTGGACAACCATTGTAAAAGTTACAGAGTATGAAGTGTTTGAATGAAGGAAAACATGAACCCGTTTGGGCTTCCTGCATCTATTGTTTTATTTATTATGTGTTACATTTTAAATCCTGTATTTCCAGTCTACCCTTGTTGTTTAGAGGTTTTACTTTTTCTTGTGTGGGAATTTCAACGACACACGTGTTCTTTTGAAAGTTGTATGAAATATTTATGTACACAAAATGTTTTTAATTACAGAAATCAAAAGAAATGTAGTAAGTAGAGCGTGACATTTTAAATTTTCACTTACGAACATTCAACCAGTTAATGTGTTTGATTCTTATCTTCTGCCTCATGGCTTCTGTGGTATAAAGATTAATGATGGTTTGCATTTGTTAAGTCAGTTTTACTCCTAATAAAGCTAGGTTTATGATTTTAATGAAAGGAAATTCTTTAATTTTGTTTAGGCATAATCAGACGTGCAACTGCTGTGACTGTAATTTATCTGTAAAAAAAAAAAAAATCCAGTCTCATAAAGGAACTATCATTGTTTATTTTTGACAGGAAATCCAAACCAAGAGAAAGTCCAAAACCCAAATTTTTAAGAACTAGGGAATAAATATATGGTATTTATGTAATAGTTTATCTCTTGATAGTTTGGCAGGTCAAACTTTGACCTTGATTTGTCATAATTTTCTCTTTGTTTTCCTGCCCTCCAAAATCAGTATCACCTAGTCTGTCCATCAAATCATGGTGCAGTTTAATAGTGAAAGTAGATGCAGCTGTTCAAAGGTTAAAATAGATTTCTTGCAGAAGGCCAATTTCTCATCTGTGGTGGTTACTACAAGCTGAAAGAGCGCTTGTATTTGCTTTGTTGTCATTATTGTTTTTTAAAGTTTCCGTGGTACACAAGGTAAATGATAATCTTTTTTTTTTTTTTTTTTTAAAGATTGGCACCTGAGCTAACAACTGTTGCCAATCTTTTTTTTTTCTGCTTTTTCTTCCCAAATCTCCCCAGTACACAGGTGTATATTTCAGTTGTAGGCCCTTCTAGTTGTGTCATGTGGGATGCTGCCTCAACGTGGCCTGATGAGCGGTACCATGTCCGCACCCAGGATCCAAACTAGCAAAACCCTGGGCCACTGAAGCGGAGTGCATGAACTTAACCACTCGGCCACAGGGCTGGCCTCCTGATAATCTTTTTTATTTGAATTTTTTGATTTATGGAAGTAGTAGATGTTTATATGATGCTGTGTATGTTCCTTATTTTGTGGTTCATTTGTAGATATCTAAATTTGTACATGAGCCTGGCATATTCAGACAGTTGATCCAGATATATTTCAAAATTGTCACAGTAAAGTTCTCAAAATCTACCTATTTCACACATCCTTTCTGATACACTAGGTTTTAATACTGCTTTACTTGAATCTAAAGCAATTTGACATTTATAATACTCTCAGCCTGCTTTCTAAGTGGGTTGTCACTGCAGTGAGCTTTGAATGGCCATCAATGCTTCTCTATCTCTTCCTGTCTTACTATTTAGGTACAAAACCATTTGCAGTAAATCATGTCTTTGTGCAATTATAATCACCCATGTAGAAATGAATATTTTCACCCCTATAATGTTCGGTTCTAATTAATGCCCTGGCTTGAAATCCCATATTAACTTTAATTGCTGAGACAACAGCATATTCTATTCCACTTCTGTGAACTGGAATATTAAATTTCCAAAAGATTTCTGAAATGGAACTTCCCTGGATTTTACTTTACTTGACTTGGCTTAGGGCTCATTAATGAAACTTGGCCTCCAGGAAAAATGCCTCTTCTTAAGCAATTAATATTCCAGTGATCCCAAGTTATCTCTTCTGACAGCAGGAATACGATAGGTCCTAGGAGTCAACTCTGGCCCCATAAGGACACTCTGTAGAATGCCTCCTAAGGCTAAGGTGAAGGTGTCATTGAAGTACTTCTGAGGACAGAAGGGGCGCTTTCAGTAATTACGCCCAGACAACAGCCATTAGTAAAGTTAGTCATCTTACTTAAGGCCTCAGAAGTTCAAATCTATAGCTGTCCAGAATTGATCTAGAGTTCTGATATAGAAACAAACGAATCTGCACCATTTTGAAAGCCCATTTATGTTTTGAAATGACCATTGAATACTACTTAGGAAACTTTTCAAAATCCAGAAATACTAGAAATAGTACTTGATATATATGTATATATACACACACACGTATATATATACCTATATAAAAAGACATTAAGTTTTTTTTCTTTTAGTAACTGTTTGGTAACTTTTATTAATAATATCCATTGTAGCCATAGCCAAGTCTGGTGTAATGCCCAAATCCTTAACTTTAGTTGAATAGATTGGGATGAATTTTGTTAGTTTATTCAGATAAACTGGAATGAATTCTGTTCCTTCTTTGTTTTTTAATGAATACCATTCTTTTCGTTGATTAAAGCAATTTTGCCAGTGACTTTGTAAGTTGTCCCACACTGAATGGATTTTAAATAATAATTAATTGCCAAGGAAGTGGAAGAACAAAGAGTGGTTCGTACAGCTTGTAGGGAGTTAAGGAAGAAAAATTTCTGACAGTTACTCTTATATTGGACTTCCTAGTATCCATAAATTGCTTTACCTTGAATTCTCTTGTTTCTTTTACAGTTTAAACTCAAATATGTACTATCTGTTTTAAAAAATATATTGTGCCCAGATTTCTGTAAAAGTAATATGTTCTATTTTAAAATGCCCAGTCATGTTGATTTCACGGAGATTTGGGGAAATTTATCCTTATGGGAATAATTACTATGGGAGCTAAAAATAATAGATGTGTCCTTCTTTTTCTTTCTTTTTTAAAAAAGCTGGACCTGTGATCTGCAGAATGCTGAGTTACCCCCCAACTCGCCGAGCTTTAATTGTGGGTTGTGGCCTACAAATGTTCCAACAGCTCTCAGGCATTAACACCATCATGTATGTATTTCTTTCTGGCTTTTTACTGAAAAGATTGTGAAGGAATTATTTTACATGGGAAAAAGAATAGGACTCTTGGTGCTTTGTTATTAAATGTGTAGGATTCTCCTTTTGGAAGTTACTTGACTTTACAATTTTTTTTAATCCTATCAGTTCGTAACAAGAAGGTGATTTATTTTGTTTGTTGTAATTGTTGGCTTTATTTGATTTCATACAATTTCTCTTTTAAGCCATCCATTACTTCCTTATATTTTGAGCTAATGAATGTTATCATTTTCATAAGTCATTTCTTGATGCTGGTTAGAAAGTAAACCAAAAGGAAGTCACCTGGCAGCCAGCCTGGTGGCACAATGGTTAAGTTTGCACACTCCACTTTGGCGGCCCAGGGTTCACCAGTTCAGATCCTGGTTGCAGACCTGCACACCACTCATCAAGCCATGCTGTGGTGGCGTCCCATGTAACAAAATAGAGGGAGATTGCCACAGATGTTAGTTCAGCAACAATCTTCCTCACCAGAAAAAAAGAGAATCACCTGGCATTGTCAGAGATTAATGGGCACACAGATAACTAGTTCATTTCCTTGTGGGTCAATCAGTTATGACGTAGTGTGATAACATTAATAGAAGTATGTTTATACAACCAGAGTACAGTGGACTAGAGATGTAGTGTGAGCAGAGAAGTGGGGAAGACACAAAAGTTCCCTCTTTTTTAGTTTGCAGAGTAATCCCCAAAGTTGTATGTGTGTTGGGAGTGGAGTAGGGTGAACAGTAGGGTTCTACTGTGTTTCGTTCATTCAATATTAAACGCATTTTTTGTGGGCTATTTTGTACTAGATACACAGCAATGAATAAGGTAGACATGATCCTTGGCCTCACAGAGTATACAGGCTGGAGGAGGAAACACACGTTGAATAAACTCACAGTTTAATATAGAATTTCAATTGTGATAGGGCTGTACAGGACTGTTCCAATCCTCCACAGAGTAGACTGTTACAATCCTAGGTAAAAGAATGTGAGTTAGAGAAAAGTTTTGAGTTTCTCTGAGAAACTGGTTGTTGGGTGAAAAGCTATTAAGTCTTAGAAGCATTTTCCTCTACCTGTGGTTATAATTATTCTTTAGAAAAATACAAACTGTGTAAAATTAAATTTTACCTGGTAGACCATTTGTATTTGGGACTCTTGATATGTTCCTTTAAAATTACTTGGGATACAATGAATTATCTAGTGATAATTTGAGAAGAGTGAATTGGTTAAAATAGTGATTAAAAATAATGATGAGGGCCCAATGACCCATTAGATTAAATCAAGATTTGTTTTTTTTTTTTTCTTCTCCCCAAAGCCCACCCAGTATATAGTTGTATATTCTAGTTGTGAGTGCCTCTGGTTGTGCTATGTGGGACGCCACCTCAGCATGGCCTGATGAGCGGTGTGCTATGTCCGCGCCCAGGATCTGAACTGGCGAAACCCTGGGCCTCCGAAGTAGAGCGTGCGAACTTAGCCACTCGGCCACGGGGCTGGCCCTTAAATCAAGATTTGTTAAGAATCTCTACTTTAAATCCATCCATACCCTTTATGAAGTTGACTTTAGTCATAATCCTTGTTAGATTACAACTTCCTGGAGTACATTTTCAATGTTTGGTTCTCTCCTCCTTCCCTCTAACATTTACATTCATTTGTCCTCACCTTTATCACGTCTCTTAGGGCCATCTGTTGGCATAGTGCCCAGCATGTTTGTTTGTTCGTTTTCTGGATGTGGCACATCATGACTGTTCTGAGATGCGTCCACTGTCCTCAGTGTGGTGATGGTATGGAAATGTAACCAGGCTAGTACCAAGCTTTCAAATAATGCAGTGCAGGAATAGCCTTATGTGAATATCTAGTTTATCAACCTAATTTAAAATGTGTTGTGTTTCTGAAAATCTTTTTTGGTGGTTCTGACCTTTTCTAGGCATTTAAATTTGACAAGTTTAAAAACATAGAAAATGAATTTTTGTTGTACTTTTTTGTGTCCCTATAAGACAGGGATCACGGACAGAGCGAACACTAATTGATGGATAGTGGTTGAGGCCAGTGTGTTCCTAGTTGAAAGGAGTATCATAGTCCATTTGTGATATCTAGTGTAAAATGTGCTGATTAAGGTTTTCAAATTTTAATAAAGCGTTCATCTCTTCAAATCCTGTCTTTCCACAGTGAGATCAGGTGATGTGAGTATAAAGAGCCTGAGATTCCTTAAGCTTTATGAGTAGTCATTAATGTGCTTTGCCTGTCACAGACTGTACATGATATAGGTAATGTCATACAGCTTTTGTGTGCAGTTGAGTATTAATCCTAGAAAGTAGTAAGAATAAGGTAAATGATGGTTAAATTTAGGTTGTGTCTACATGATGCAAAACAGCTAGTCAATTCCCTGAAGAAATTAATATGACATTAATGTCTGGAGGTTAGAGGTTTAGGTGTTTAAATGATATGATACCTATGCTAAGTAGCTGTTGATTATTCATAGTTTGCAATTTCAGACATTCATAATTTAAGCCCATAAAACTTAGTGTAAATCAATTTCATTGTAATAGATTGCACTACTGTCATTATCTGGGTGGAAAATGGCTAATCTGGGGTTCTCATATAATGTGTTTTCTTCTACTCCCTCTAGTCTGTATTTGTGTGTGTGTGCATGTGTATGTATCTTTTTCCATTATTCTTAAGATTCACTAAATACTGTCATAAATTTTGTTTCTTCTAGTTTAAAGTAATCTCTTAATTGGTGCCTAGTAGTTTATTTTCTGTTGTTTTTAGTAGAAATATTGATTCTATATTTTTTATTTTAAAACATGTTATTTTGTTAATTTAGAGTTCTGTTTTTGTGGATATTTCATGATGTATATTTCATTACTCTTCCTCTTTGTTTCCAGCTTCTTCCCTTTGAAATGGGAAATAAAATAGGTAGTGCTCTGCTATATCCACAACCCAAACCTAATATCTGTAGAAGTTGAAATGTTTTTATAAAATCCATCTTTCACCCCAAAGTGTGTGTGAACCTGAAATATGAGGTATTTTGAATTCTATTTCTTACTAAGAAAAGTTCATAGAAAGGTCATATGGAAAAATATTGAAAGATAAATTGTCCTTAAAATCGTGTTACATAATCTTACCATGTTTAGTTTTCTCTCTTCTTCCTCATAGCATCTTTATTTCTATCTCCTTGACCTATTTAATATCCCATCTCAGTCAAGGAAATAGATTTTCTTCTTGGAATATTTGATTTTCTCATCCTCTACCATCAAAAAAAAAATATATATATATATATAGTGTATGTATATATCTAAGTATCTTTCAGTGTATGATAACTCATGTTTATATCCTAACTCATACCTTATCATCCTCTATCCTATCGAACAGAGGACTTCTAACTTCTTAAAACCATTACGTACTTCAAACGTGACATTTAACTTTTAGAAGAGATGATTTTCTAATATAGTTCTAATCACTGAATAATTTTAAACACACAGCTGAATAGATTATTCTCTATTCACAAGAGAGAAAGAACAGACCAAACGGAGTACTAGCTTTCCTGATAGAAAAGTGTTGATATTATTGTACTGTATCTCAGAGACCAATAAAACATTTCCACATGTGTCAAAATAAAGGGGAGAGGAGTGATAGATGAAGATAATGATAATTAACATGAAGAAAACTCTCTTAAATTCCCATGGTGATCTATTCTAAACCTAGTTATAATGTCAATAATTTTCTATTTTCTATCTAAGGAATTTTATCTGATAGCTATTAACAAATGGACCCTTTCCACATTATTATTATTACAACCAAAATGTGTGTGTGAATAATTAGGTAGGTAGATAGGGAGAAAAAGAAAGAGAAAAAATACCAGGGTTTGATAAACTATATTGTGATATATTCTGATAAACATATAATCAATCCACTTTGGACAGGTGGATGGTATCAGATTTTTATCTGGGAGGACCAAGTGGTTACGTGGCTCATTTTAAGGTTACACAGAAAATCAATAGTAAAGAGAAGAAGGGAATCCAGAATTTTAAGCTTTTGAGTCGGCTTCAGGTAAAAAGGATTGTAGGGGAATAAACTTCTTTTGGACACTCTGTTCTAGTCCTATGCTTTGAAGCTACTCTTCTTTTAGATTAATACTCCCAGATTCATCTCTTATTACTCTTCCCTTTTCTATTAAAAGCATGGGTGGGAAATGGGCAATTAAATTGGATAGGCAGATTATTCTTACTTCTGTAACTGCTTTACTCATATCCCCGGGAGATTACTTCTTCCATTGTATTTACATAATAAAGACCTTTGAAAAACGTGCCCGGGTAATAATAATGTTAATAGCTATCATTTATTGAGCATTAAATACCAGGTGCTACTCTACCATGTATTAAGTCAATACATATTAACGGAAAATAAAAAAATAGGATAGAACTGTTAGCCCCTCTAATGGTGTAATTATTTGTTGTTGCCATGATAATAACGGAGATTTTTACTGTTTTACATATATAACACTATAAAATATTTTAACACACATGATCTCTCCTGATCGTCATAAAAATCCTGTCAAGTAGGCAGGGCAGTCCTTCTTTTAATTCTCCAGCTAGGCAATCTCGTGCTTAATGAGTTATGTGACTTGTCACTGTCACACACAGAACTAATCAGTTTTAGAGCTGAGGGTGGAACCCTGATTTTCTGACTCCAGATCACCTGGGCTACCCTCTAGTTGCAGATCGCCCAAAATGCCCAGAGCTGACTATTTAAAGCTTGTTTGGGAGTAATGTAAGGTAAAAAGTCAAAGTTAGTGGAATACAGTACCATCCAAGGATAAAAATCTAAAATGACTGTATGCTCATGAAATTGCATCCATCTCAAGAATCGTAAAACTCATCAAATTCTTTAATCTGCTGGTACCCAGTTAAGTCCTGATCTAGAGCTCCTGGCAAGCCAGTTTGATGGTTGGATGAGTCATTTATATTTGTTAATCAT